AAAAAGCAAAATACGAATTAAAGAAGGGGATAAAGAAAGCCAAAATTGAGTATAAAAATAGATTAAAGGAAGATATATGTTCTAGTGATTCTAAGGAATTATGGAAGGGGTTAAATAAAATAACTAATTATAAACGTAAGTCTAGTATTACTCATTCAAAACATAACAATCTTCCCCAGCAATTGAATGATTTTTTCTGTCGTTTTGACACTCTTCTCCCTAGTGATGTTGACAATTGCGTTTCTCCTGCTGAAGACAATCATCTTAACATTGATTGTCCTTTAATTATTCCTGAAGAGGAAACGTGTAGGGAATTTCGAAGATGCAAGTCAACAAAATCTGCAGGTCCGGATGGTATTAGTCCATCTCTAGTTAAACATTGTTGCCGTCAGATCTCGTACATCTTCACATACATATTCAATTGTTCTCTCTTATCCCAGATTATTCCGCGTTGCTTCAAAGATTCAGTAATAATTCCAATACCGAAATGTTCCCCAAATAACTCTTAACGATTATCGACCCATTGCTTTAACCTCTGTAATAATGAAATGTTTTGAACGCATTGTTCTAACGTACTTAAAGTCTGAGTGTCCGGTAAATCTGGACACTTATCAATTTGCGTATAGACCAAATCGTTCTACAGATGATGCCGTATCTCTGCATAAGGTCTTAGAGCACCTGGAGTGTGATAAACGATATGCAAGAATTTTATATATTGATTTTAGCTCTGCTTTTAACACGATAATACCTCACAAACTGCATGCAAAAATGACTAATATAGGTTTTGATATATCCATTTGTAACTGGGTCCGTAATTTCCTCACTGATCGACCTCAGTTTACCAGAGTGGGTACCCTCACCTCTAAAAAACAAATTATTAATACTGGTGTACCACAGGGGTGCGTCCTTTCACCCTTTCTTTTCACTTTGTTCACATATGACTGTGTAACAACGCTCCATAACTGCCACATAGCCAAGTTCGCTGACGACACCACCATTGTAGGACTTATCCAAGATAATAATGAGACATTTTATCGACAGCAAATTAAAGATATTGTAGACTGGTGCAGCAGTAACAATCTTTACTTAAATGTATCTAAAACTAAGGAAATGGTTGTAGACTTTCGGAAAGCTATAAATCCAAAATACCCTATATTTATTAATGATGTTCCAATCGACTTTGTTGAGGAATTTAAATTCCTTGGTATTTATATATCCAATGATATGAAGTGGCAACGTAACGTGCAAACAATTGTGAAAAGGGCACAGAAAAGAATTTATTTTTTGCGTAGGCTTAAATCTTTTGGAATGCATCCGAATTTTTTGATGTCTTTTTATAGAGCAGTAATTGAAAGCATTTTAACATTATCTATAACCGTCTGGTTCGGGGCGCTACCGAAAACGACTTATATGCCCTTAACAGAATCGTCAGGACTGCAACGCATATCATTGGTTTGGAACAAATGCCTCTGGAAACCATTTTCCATGATCGGCTTCTTAAAAAGGCAGAGGCTATTATGGGCGACCAAACTCATCCTGCCTCAAACCTATTCCAATTGATGCGCAGTGGTCGACGTTTTCGTTCATTGAAAGCCACTAAGGCTAGATTCAGGAATAGTTTCTTTCCTAGGGCAATTAGGGCTCTAAATTGTTGGTAAATGTTTCATACTTTTGCACTTTGTTTCTTTGTTTGTGTTTGTTCTGCCTTTTGGAATGTGTTTTTACCACAGAGCAAAACAAATTTCTATGTTCTCCTGAACAATGACAATAAAATATGATTGATTGATTGATTGATAAATTGTATATATATATATACATATATATAATTGTATATATATACATATATATATTCCAGTTAATAATAATAATAATAATAATAATAATACAGTATTTATATAGCGCCTAACAGATCACAGATCCCTCTAGGCGCTTTACAATTCTTAATTTATTTTAATTTAATTTAATTTATGGTAAAAAACTATCCCCCGCCGGATACCAACCCGGTATTTCAGAGTCAAGGTTTCGGGGCCATGAATTTCAAGATCGACCTTAACTATGTTCACTTAACTACAATATGGTAAAAACTATCCCCCGCCGGACACCAACCCGGTATTTCAAGGTTTCGGGGCCAGGATTTTCAGATAGGGCACTTAAATAATAATAACAATAATAATAATAATCACAATGATAACAAATTTAATTAGGAAACAGGTGAGTTGTGACTTGAATATACTGATTGATGGAGAACATTTAATATGGATCGGTAAGTTATTCCAGACTGCCGGTGCTGCCGCAGCAAAAGATCTTCTTCCATACGCAGTGGATGTTTTAGGTACTGACACTAGGTAGTTATCAGCTGACCTCAGCAAACGCGAAGGGGTGTATTCTGAAATTAACTCACGGATGTAACCTGGAGCAATTCCATTCGATGCCTTGTAAGTCACCAACAAGATTTTAAATGTGATGCGCTTACACACAGGCAGCCAATGAAGGTCTTAACACCGGTGTTATGCTGTGTCGCTTTTTTGTCAGAGTGACGATCCTTGCTGCAGTTTGGCAATCTCGTAGTCAGGTAAACCGTATAAAAGGCTGTTGCAGGAGTCGAGGCGAGTGCTGACAATTGCGTGAATGAGCTTTTCGGCGGATGCTCTGTCGAGGTACTTGCGCACTTGACCTATTTTTCAGAGGGCAAAGTTAGCAGCCTTACAGATACTGTTAATATGAGATGACATACTGAGCCAAATCTAGCTAGTTTGGTCTAATATCTGTAACTTAAGTACAATAGGTGTGACCTGTCTCTTATACACATCTAGATGTGTATAAGAGACAGCGCTTACACACAGGCAGCCAATGAAGGTCTTAACACCGGTGTTATGCTGTGTCGCTTTTTTGTCAGAGTGACGATCCTTGCTGCGGTATTTTGAACTTGCTGCAGTTTGGCAATCTCGCAGTCAGGTAAACCGTATAAAAGGCTGTTGCAGGAGTCGAGGCGAGTGCTGACAAATGCGTGAATGAGCTTTTCGGCGGATGCTCTGTCGAGGTACTTGCGCACTTGACCTATTTTTCTGAGGGCAAAGTTAGCAGCCTTACAGATACTGTTAATATGAGATGACATACTGAGCTTGTCGTCTATTGTAATACCGAGATTGCGTGCTGATGAAACTGTATGAACAAGATCTGATCCGACTTGAATGTGATCCATTTTCGTAGTGCGACGCAAGAACCTGGATCTTATGTGAAGAATTCCAGTTTTATTAACGTTCAGTTTCAGTTTATTAATGACCATCCATTTCTTGACATCTTGTATACAGGATTCAAGTTGTGTAATTGTGCAAGATGTGTTAGACGGGTTGAAAACCATATAGAGTTGCGTGTCGTCGGCATATACCATCAACTCAATTCCATCATGGGCATCAATAATATCTTCAAGTGGTGATGTATACAAATTAAAACACAGAGGGCCCAATACTGACCCCTGTGGTACACCATCGCTTACGGGATATGAATTTGATTCAGAGTTGTTAATGGTGACAAATTGAGTGCGGTTTAACATAAAAGATTGAAACCATTTGAGAACGGTACCGTCAACTCCATATCGATTTGCAAGCCTTTGCAATAGTATCTTATGGTTTACAGTGTCAAATGCTGCGGTTATATCAAGCAGCACAAGTACTGCTTCGCTGTGCACATCTACCGCACGAAGTAGATCATTCGTGACACGTCTCAGTTGAATGATGTTTACGGTAGGCTGATTGTCTCTTACTGTGCAGGTTATTTGACACGAGATGGTCTTTCAGTTGATCGGCAACAGATCTCTCGAGAACCTTTTGGATAAAGGATAAGTTGGAAAACGGACGATAGTTCTTTAAACTCTCTGGGTCTAGAGAAGATTTCTTTATAAGTGGCATTGAACGTGCTTCTTTGAAGGTGTTCGGAACTATACCAGATAAGAGTGATTTATTGATGATGTCACAGATGGTTGGAAGGAGTTCATCGATGCATTCTTTCAGAAGCTAAGAGGGTATGGGGTCCAAAGGACAAGAGGTCGATTTTGAGGTCATAATTATTTTTCGTAGATTATCTTGCGACACGTTGGAGAATGTTCTGAATGGGAGTACGTCAGCACGTTCCTCCTGCATATAATTAGCACTATCTGAGTCGTTGTCAAGTTCAATCTTAACCTTGAGAGCCTTGTTGCGAAAGAATTCAGAGAATCGGCAAGCAAGATCTTCGGAAAACTCATGTAAAGGTATAAGATCTTCTTATGATTTTTAGAAGTAAGATTATTTATTAATTTAAACAATTTTCCCTGTTCACATTTTGCCACTTGACATCTGTGAAAATCGGCTTTAAACTTTTCGAGCATTATTTTGTTTATATCTGTTGCATTCAACATGATATATTTGTTTATGCACCTCTAAGCCAGACGAAACCCACTTTCATTCACAACGGCGTTTAATCCGCTTTTGGTTACGTAAATCCTCATTATACCAAGGTGCGTTAGGTCTTAATGTTATCAGCTTGGTAACTATTGGGGCATGTCGATCCAAGAGCTGAGAAAGAACATTGTTGTATTGAGCTACGAAAGTGTCAATACCTGAAGCAGGAGTCGCTATTAACTCTTATTTCATAATATCACTCTTGAAACACCCGATGTCAATTTGGCGACTTTTGCGAAAGGTGATCTTATATCTGACTGAGTCTGGACGTGATATATTTAAATGACATACAATTGGGAAATGGTCAGAAGGTTGATCACAGTGAATTGAAATGTCGGATATAAGTTCATCAATATCTCTACAGATTAACAGGTCAAGTGTGTGACCACTCTTATGGGTGGGGCCGGTGACATGCTGTGTGAATCCGGCAATGGATAGAAGGTTCTTCATAATGTTGGCATCGCCATCATCTGTATTTTCCATGTGGAAATTAAAG